CACTTATTAATTGTTCTAACTGTCAGGAAATTTCTCCTTAGTTCTAAGTTGCTTCTCTCCTTGATTAGTTTCCACCCATTGCTTCTTGTCCTGCCCTCAGGTGCTTTGGAGAATAGTTTGACTCCCTCTTCTTTGTGGCAACCCCTGAGATATTGGAAGACTGCTATCATGTCTCCCCTATCCTTCTCTTCATCAGACTAGACATACCCAGTTCCTACAACCGTTCTTCATATGTTTTAGCCTCCATGTCCCTAATCCTCTTGGTTGCTCTTCTCTACACTCTTTCTAGAGTCTCAACATCTTTTTTTACATCGTGGCGACCAAAACTGAATGCAATATTCCACGTGTGGCCTTACCAAGGCATTATAAAGTGGTATTAACACTTCACGTGATCTTGATTCTGTTCCTTTGTTTATGCAGCCGAGAACTGTGTTGGCTTTTTTGGCAGCTGCTGCACACTGCTGGCTCATATCTAAATCATATTTGCTATTTGCTTTTAATTAAACAAAATGACATTTAATTAACATTCTGCCCCTGAGCTAATTTTTTTTTTTTTTTTTTATGTTTAGAGATCAGAACCATAAAAAATTCAGTGTGAGTTATATTATTATTGTAACAGCTGAATTACAGATTGGATTTGCAATTTTTAGCCTGTAATAGTTTCCTGTATTAAACCTATATGTTGCCCAGCGTTCCCAATAACCCTGAATGACCTACCACAATCAAGTTATACTAAAGTAGATAAACTATGAAGTGATGAATTGATTTAATTATGAAAATAATTGAAATTGAGAGATAAATTAGATGGACCCAGTTTGTGGGGGCAATAAACTGACTTTGTATAAATATACAAAAGTATGAAGGCTATTGCTTAACGCATTGTAAGCCGCCCTGAGTCTCTGGAGAAGGGTGGCATATAAATCAAATTAAAAATTAAAAAAGACAATTGAGTTTTTATATTCTAATGAAATAAGATACTGGATAGTGTTCATTGTTTATTAAGAAGAGATTAAGATAAGAGTTTATAACAGAAAAAGGTGATGTGAAAGATAAATATGATGATATATATTATGGTAAAAGGGTAAAATGAATGATAGAGAAAATATGAAATGACAAACTGGTTCATTTAAGAAAATAATTAAGAGATGAACCTGAAATATTATGTTATAACAAGAAATTAGAAATTAAGGATGGAGGTGATAGTGTTTAAATTAAAGGGTTTCAATATGAAAATGGAATAAGAAAAAATAAATTGTCAAAAGTTAAAAAATGTGATGGGAATTTTGAGAAATATATGTGACAAAAAGGAGAAATAAAATAAGGAAAAGAAATAAGGTTACGGAATTAGCAGGTGTAGGGCGTATGGTAATATTGTTTATGTGTTAAGAAGAGATCGAAAACAAAATTAAAAAAGTAGAGAAAAAGAATATTATGGCAGGAATTGAAATATATAAATTGTATTTGGGGAAAAAGTAAAAAAAAAAGATTGGAAATACAAAATATTATAAGTTGTACAAGATTGGACTCGGCCAATACTCTATTCAGAAAATATGTATTGTTTGTTTGTTTATGTGTTTGTTTGTTTTTAAAAAATAAAAAAACCTTTTTAAAAAAAAGTTATGCTAAAGTAAAATTAAATAAAAGGATATTGCTTGTTTAAGCAGAGGCTGGAGGGGCGTAATAATGGATTCCTGCATTTCCACATGAATCCATCCTTCTCCGCATGAGAATATAAGATGGAATCTTGTATGATGCACAATTGAGATGGCATTGCACAGGCGAGAACCTGCATGTGGTTAAAACTGCTTTTACTGAATAGCTGTTGACTTCACAACACATTAAATATAATGCCTTTGGCTTACGTTTTGTGCAGATGCAGCCTAGAAGAAGCTGTCTCACCTCCTAACTAACCCAGGCTATTTTGGACCGGCAATAACACATCATAAATCTAAGATGAAGTCATCGTCTTCTTCTACGTGAGATGCCCAATCCTTCATTATTATTATTATGATTTGAATCCGATTAATTTGGATATGAGCAAAATAAGACCGCCGCTGGTAGAGTGCCAAAATGGTAGATACGTTTCTCCCAGGGGGTGGGGGAAAGAGGACAGACAAGGGCAGGAACTCAGGAGGAATTGCAAACACCAATTTGTGCAAAAAATAGGTAACGGAATCACAAACCATCTCCCTGCAGCAGGAATAGCAATCGCACTTAAGACTCGTGTACTGCTTCACACAATGCTTTTTACAGCCCTTCCTAAGCGGTTTACAGAGTCAGCATATTGTCCCCCAACAATCTGGCTCCTCATTTGACCGACCTCGGAAGGATGGAAAGCTGAGTCAACATTAAGCCGGTCAGGATTGAACTACTGTCAGTGGGCAGAATTAGCCTGCAATACTGCATTCTAACCATGGCACCACCACGGTCCTTCCTTCCTTCCTTCCTTCCTTCCTTCCTTCCTTCCCTCCCTCCCTCCCTCCCTCCCTCCCCACTTAGCAATAGCACTTAGACTTATATACTGCTTAATAGAGCTTTACAGCCCTCTCTAAGCGGTTTACAGAGTCAGCCTCTTGCCCCCAACAATATGGGTCCTCATTTTACCGACCTCGGGAAGGATGGAAGGCTGAGTCAACCTTAAGACGGTCAGGATCGAACCGCTGGCAGTGGGCAGAGTTAGCCTGCAATACTGCATTCTAACCACTGCGCCATCAAGGAAGCATTATGATGTGATCGTTTATGTTCCTGCTGTTAGGCTATATAACATAGGGGGCAGAGGTTTCTATGGGACCAATTTGCTCCCTTTCTCCTCTTGAACGTGGCTGAATAACCCTCATCTCTAACACAAAGCCATTATTTATCTGCTTAACTGTGGTATTCCTCCATACAAGAAGTCCTTGGTGCTCTTTTTCTTTTGCAAGGTTTCTGGGATAACTGTCAGCTTTTTCCATGAGGCTTTTAACTGTTCAAGGTACAGTGATAAACTCATATTACCCCACGTCTTCTTCTCTCAAGGAAAGGTCATATGCCAGCTAAGCCAATTTTATCCTGCTGACAGGGGACTAAAAAAAATAGCAAAATAAGCAGCCACAACTATGCAATCAAAGTCCCAGTAGCAGAGAATATTTGCAGCTCAGGGTTGAACTGTGAGGTCCTTGGTGCTCTCTAAGCTTGGCTGCTTTCTTGCAGACCTTTCATTACCCAACTAGGTAACATCATCAGTGCTAGAAGGGGATGGGTTTGCAAGGAGCAGGAAGAAGAATGTAGGGTCCTCGGTGCTCTCTGAGCTGGGTTACTTTCTTGCAGACCTTTCGTTACCCAACTAGGCAATATCATCAGTGCAGAAGGGAGTGGGGGTTTGCTCTCTGTATATCTGTCAAAGCCCATTCTTTTTACATGCATTTTTAACAGCCTCTCTGCAACCACCAATTTAGCTTCGGTGTAACCTCCAGCCCCATTTTGATGCTTCGGCATTGAACCTCAAGGAGAATGTTGACGTTTAAGGATAACATTGTAATCTTGGGAGATGCAATGTTTTCTTTCTTTCTTTCTTTCTTTCTTTCTTTCTTTCTTTCTTTCTTTCTTTCTTTCTTTCTTTCTCTTTCTTTCTTTCTTTCTTTTCTTTCTCTTTCTTTCCTTTTTCTTTCTTTCTTCTTTCTTTCTTTCTCTCTCTCTTTCTTTTCTTTCTTTCTTTCTTTTTTTCAATAGAAGCAACACAATAGCACGTTAAGCTTCTTTCATACACCTATTTTCTACAACTTCTCCATAGACTTCCAAACATAAAGAAAAGGCCCAAACATTCCGTTTCATTCAGTCCGGTGACATCACTGTCTGGATGACTCTCTTTTCCCCTACCTACCCTATGGCTCTCGTTCTGAAGATAAATTTTAATAAAATGAAATGTAGAGTCCCTTTGGTAACAAAGAAAGCTACTCTGTCCTCGTTTATACAAATTTTTGCTTCGTTTTCTAGATTATCCTAGTTATCCGGGTTGCCTTTTGAATCCTGGAAAATGAATCTCCTTGGGTTGTTTTTATTAACCTGTGAGTGGCAGAATTTGCTTAAACCAGTGGTAGCGCTGTACGTTTTATTGAAATGCTTACTACCCATGATTAACCGAAGCATTGTTTTTCCTCATTGACCCAATTTAACGGGTTTGCATTATGCACTGCCCAATGACCTGAAAGCACGTGGGCTGCGTTCGAATCATAATTAGGCTAACCTAAACATTCACTAGTTTGCATTTAGTTGTGCTGCACAAGTCTCCCTGTGTCTTTGGGTGTTTTTTTTTTTTAAAGAATCGTTTCCTCAACATGGTAAAGACTTAGCTAGATACTGTAATTTTTTTCATGCTTGTTTCCAAGTTTCTTACAAGGTAGTTCAAACAGGGTATCACACCAAATAAGACAGCATCTTAATTACATCTGTAATTACTCTGTAAGAGTAGTCACATTTTTGCCCGGTACAATGGGAATTTATTGTTTATTTTATTTATTTATTTATTGACAGAGCCTAAAGGAGGGGAGGATTTGAAGGCATTTTTAGCCAAATGTGGGGGAAATAACGAAACAAGAGTCATTTGAGGGTTTCTCCCACCACCACCCCAATTCTCATTTTGGAATCAGACTTCAGCATATAAAACGAGGTGGGCTAAATATTTGCTTACTTAGAAGGCTAGCAGCTGAAGTGTAATACAGCTGGTCCTCGACTTACGACCGCAGCGGAGACTGGAACTTTGCTCACTAAGTGATGCAGTTGCTAAGTGAGCTGCACCCAGTTTTATGACCCGTTTAAGCCAAATCGCCACAGCTGTTAAGCAAAACCAGCTTCTCCCATTGACGAGGAATAGGCACGTATTGCATAGTTGATAAACCTGTTAAGATTAAGAGAGGACTGCATCCTAATACATTGCATTAATTCCAAGGAGGCTTATTATAGACATCTTGTTAAATGTATTCGCTCATCTGAATGAGAAAAAAGATCTAAGGAAGGCTACTTACCCGGGCAAAGTAGGATATCCCGGTCTCCAAGCTGGATTCACCCTTTTGTCCAAGATCTTTGCTTGGTTTAGAAAGGAAGGCAGAGTCTCCCACAGCTAACAAAACACAGTTCTCTTGGATGTTTGGCTTGGACCTGAATGCCTTGTCTGGGTCTCCCAGGGAATAAGCAGAAGACAAGGAGCTGCTTAAGCCGATTTCTGGAACGGTGGGGTTGGTCTGGACAGTGACGCATTCCGTGAGTTTAAACCTTGGCACTTCTTTCGTCCGTAAGCAGAAGTTCTTCAGGGTTGGCAAGGTGGAAGGATTGGCCAGCTTAACGTTCGCCATGCGAGGTACCAAGGTGCACAAAGAAATGGAGCTGTCCGAGGTACCAACTGGGACATCTTCAGTGAGTGTGTTAGATGTAATGGAAGGAGAAGCTGAAGAGGCCTTCAGGCGAAGAAGATCTCTCGACGTGTCTTCCTCCAGTGAGGTGAGGGATTCATTTCTGAAACGACTATATTTAGTCCTGTGGAGCATTCCTGATTCTCTTAAGAATCCTACATCCAGTAGTTGGGCACTCGAGCAACAGAGAATGGGTTCTCTCATAGCCTGCAAAGTTTTGTAACTCAATCTCCTGGTTCCCCCACCCTTAACTCAGCTGCCTTCTTATGAGTGACCAAAAAAAATACGGAACCAGACAGATCAAAATAATTTTGAATAGAAAAAATAAAAAAACAGGGTTTCTGGTCACTGTGGGTGCTCTTAAAACATCTCCGGAATGTTTCTTCCTCTTCATCAACCCTGTTTCAGTTTGCCCGGTCATTTAATTGTTTGAAATTAAATCAAAGTGAAACCCATACAAAGAAGCCCAGATCCCAAAGCTACGTCTGTTTCATCTGAACAGGTAGAATAATTTCAAGCAAGCAAACGCCAAATTCTCCTTAGTTTTTCAGCACTCAATGCCACGATTCTGCGTAGGATTAATGTTAAAGACCCAGCTACCTTTAAAAAAAAAAAAAAATAAGTATTAAAAGACGAAGACACAAGAAATCTCTTTCTTGAAAAACAACAGCAAGATATATATTTTTAAAAAGAAAGTTGCCTTGTTCCAAATTGATTATCAATGACTTGATCAGTTGAGGTGGGAAAAAGTACTTCTCTGAAATTAAAATGAAATCCCGACAAAGGCAGCTGGCAGGAAAAAAGTCCAGGTTAACGTGTTCTATGAACAAAACTCAGTTTCTGCCTGCAAAAAAAACACACACAAAAAAACACCTTGCTCGTCCTTAAAGACCCCACAGTAGCATAATGAGCCTCAAATACTCCGCAGAGATTGATATTCTGGCACAGCAGAAAAACCATCAGTCAATGGAAACATTACCAAAAAGTCTCTCCATCGTTCTCTGGAGCCATCCCTTCGCTCTTTTTCCTAATCTCCAGATTAGGATGACCGACTCCTTTGAAATTTGACAGAAAGAATGTTGCCTTTTCTCATCGTCTTCGTCTCCTTCTCCTTCTTCTTCTCCTTTTTTTTTTTTATGAATGAAGTTTTCTGAATGGATCTCACTGTGTGCAAGCTAAATAAACCTGTGAATGAAGCTGAGAATGGCTGTAACTGACTGGCAATCCCAGGGGTGTTTTAAGTCTGCAGCCAATCGGAAAGGAGCCTGATGACTCACGCACCATAAATACACGAAACTAGTAGCCATCCAAAAATGTGACTTTTGGCAAAGGGGGCAGCTTTCACTGTACCGGAGGTAGCCAGTGATTGGGGGTGGGAGGAGGCATCCTTGGCACGAGATGCAATTCATATATTTTCTCGATGAGAAGAAAAGGTAGAGAGCTCCTGATTTCTGCAATGCACCAGCCGGAGCTTAGCATAAAGAAAAGGCATTAGTTGATAGGATAGGGTGGGGGTGGGAGAGAATGATGATGAATTGGGTTTTTTTTTTCCCCTGTTTCTTTTCTTTTCTTTTTTTTTTCTCGTTAAGAAACAGAGCTCCTTTTTATCGACTTTCCGTTCCATCTAGAATGGCACTTCCTGTGCCGATCAAATTTACTGAGAAAGCAGATTAGAAGAAAGCAGCAAACACACAGGAAGCCCGGGACCTGAGCAGGGAATTCAATAAAGTGCATCACATCCTCGGAAACTGCAAGCCATCGCAAGCATTAGGAAGGAAGACGAAAGGGCACCTGGGGAGAAGGGAGGGGGAGGGGAGGGCGAGATGGGAGGGGAGGGGAATCCTGCAGCTTCATCGCTGGGTTTTATTGGCATTGTTTTATATTATATATATATATATAATATATATATATATATATATATATATATATATAATAAATATATAATAATCTATCTATATATATCTATATCTATATCTATATCTATATCTATATCTATATCTATATCTATATCTATATCTATATCTATATCTATATATATATTCTGAGGTTTTTGCGGGTGTTTGTATGTAGGTCTTTGGTTATTCGGGTCTTCTCCCACGTAAAATTGGAAGTGTCTTGGCGACGTTTCGACGAAGTCTCATTCGTCATCTTCAGGCTGGTGTTCTCGGCTTCGTGCTTCCAGGAGCAAATGGAAGCACGAAGCCGAGAACACCAGCCTGAAGATGACGAATGAGACTTCGTCGAAACGTCGCCAAGACACTTCCAATTTTACGTGGGAGAAGACCCGAATAACCAAAACCTACATACAAACACCCGCAAAAACCTGAGAAAAACATATATATATATATATATATGTGTGTGTGTGTGTGTGTGTGTGTGTGTGTGTGTGTGTGTGTCTTCTTAAGTTTTCGCGGGTGTGCATATGCAAAAAATTAAAATCTCGGGTGTTTTCCTGTGTCATTATAAATAAGTTGGTTAAAATATTTAAAATCCTGGTTAAAATCCCAGCTTAAAATCTTCTAAAAATCTTTACAGAGCACTCTGCAAGGTCCTTTAAAACCTCAGCTAAAATCCTACCAGTGACTTTAAAAGTTTTTCTTAAAGCAACGTTTCGACAGGCTCACAACCCTGTCATCTTCAGGCTCTGTTTCATGTAGAAGCTATGGGTTCTCTGTTGCGGGGCCGGAGCTGGATATATATAGCTGGATATATATAACATATATATATGTTATTTCTCTTTAGCCAAGATTTTGGTTTACGTAGGAAGAACCTGGCTAAAGAGAAATACACATAAAGCTTACGAAAAGGAGCTCAAAACTTGGCAGGGGTATATAATAACAGTTGGAGTTCCTTCTTTTTTTCCGTGATGGGGAAGAGGTAGGAAGATTGAGACTGCTTGAAACATCCAACGCTCTCTAGGAAGGTGACCGAGGTGATGGAAGGTGTCTCTTTCTCCTCTCCAGCCCCCCCCCCGCATCTGTCACCTTCTGTCTTCAAATCTAAAAACATTAAAGGCATTGAACTTGGGATGTTTTCCCAGCAAAAGAGATGCTGCAACCCTCTCCTTGCAAGGCCCAGAGGGATTGTTCAAGGAAACAACAGTCCCTTAAGCCTTTCTCCATTCGAAACCCAATTTAGTCCTTAGTAGAAAAATCTTAGGGGGATGGGGAACAATGTTCTCAAATTTAGACTGATTTTAGCAATTTTTCCTCTCCCCTCCTGGATGTTGTATTATCTTGGGATTGATTCTGATTCATCACAGGGCACTTCTCTCTCTCTCTCTCTCTCTGTGGTGAAATTCTCTCTCTCTGTGGTGAAATTCAATTTTTTTTACTACCGGTTCTGTGGGTGTGGCTTGGTAACTGTGGTGTGGCTTGGTGGGAGTGGCATGGGAAGGATACTGCAAAATCCCCATTCCCTCCCCACTCCTGGGGGAAGGATATTGCAAAATCTCCATTCCCACCCCACTCTGGGACCAGCCAGAGGTGGTATTTGCCGGTTCTCTGAACTACTCAAAATTTCCGCTACCGGTTCTCCAGAACCTGTCAGAACCTGCTGGATTTCACCCCTGGTCTTGCCTTGTCTACTACAACAAAGTGCTAGGACTGAACGAAGCAAATCAGTCTCAGCCTAGCTTTTATATGGGGAAAGGTGGTATAAATTCTGGATCAGTGAGCCGCTCGGGTGAAATTCATTCATATCACTGGTGAAATCCAATTTTCTTTACTACCGGTTCTGTGGGTGTGGCTTGGTGGGGGTGGCAGGGGAAAGATACTCTAAAATCCCCGTTCCCTCCCCACTCCTGGGGGAAGGATACTGCAAAATTCCCATTCCCTCCCCACTCTGGGGCCAGCCAGAGGTGGTATTTGCCGATTCTCCGAACTACTCAAAATTTCTGCTACGGGTTCTCCAGAATCTGTCAGAACCTGCTGGATTTCACCCTTGGGCTATATGCTGCTCAGAAGAGGTACATTCCCTTTCCTCGGGGGAAAGTACACTCAAACCACACAAAAAGCATCATTGTTTGCAAGTTTTACCCAACGCTGAATGGCTATTTAACACAGACGGTTACTCCTTGCTTCACATGATCCCAGAAAACCCCCATTCGGGTTTTACTTGAAGGCAAGCAAATCTCCTTTTCTCCCTCTTTCCAGTGATGCAAGCAAGAAAAGGGAAGGAGAAACATCAAAGGAAAACTCACCTACCTAGAGGCACCAGTGAGTGGGCTTGGGGTGTGGGAGGAGATACTTAATAATAACCCACTGTTTTTCTAAGTCACAGGGTGCTGCACATGTGAAATGAAGGGTTTTTTTTTTAATAAAAAAAAGCCTTTCCTTTAAATAAAGGAAACAAGCAGTAGCTTTCTATGTCAACGGGAGGAGGGAAAACCTGGCAGAAGTGGAAATAATAATTGATATAACTTTTATTTTCAGTTCTGAAAAGCTTAACACAGGCCTGACTTGTCCAGTCAGATGTTGCAAAATGCACTGGTTTTTTTCACACTCCTAATGTCAGGCGGGAAAGACCAGATCCACCTGTGAAGGTTCGATTAAGCTGACTTTATTGCTAAAAAAAAAAAAAAATCTATGCACAGGAATCTTCTGAACTAAGGCCAGCACCTGGTTAGAGTTAGACAAGAGTCAATAGAATTCAAGGACGGTTGGAATTAGTTCTCTTATGGCTACGTAGGGATTCTAAGCTAATCCCTCTTTCAACTCTACCCCCAGGTTCTGCCATTCCTTCTCCCGTACCTAATTAGAATGAGCATAAGGTAAAGGTAAAGGTTCCCCTCGCACATATGCGCTAGTCGTTCCCGACTCTAGGGGGCAGTGCTCATCTTCGTTTCAAAGCCAAAGAGCCAGCGCTGTCTGAAGACGTCTCCATGGTCATGTGGCCGGCATGACTCAATGCCAAAGGCGCATGGAACGCTGCTCCCTTCCCACCAAAGGTGGTCCCTATTTTTCTACTTGCATTTTTTACCTGCTTTCGAACTGCTAGGTTGGCAGAAGCTGGGACAAGTAATGGGAGCTCACTCTGTTACGCGGCACTAGGGATTCGAACTGCTGAACTGCCTTTCAATCGACAAGCTCAGCATCTTAGCCACTGAGCCACCACATCCCTTAGAATGAGCATAGAGAGCAGAAAGGAAATTGGTACCATTCCATTGGATAGAACATATTGTCTGCTTTGTTCTTAATTATATCTAACCTGAAGGGCACAAACCAGACCCCAAAAATTGAATATCTATTTACATCTCCCAGAAATATTCACAGCAGAGGTTGGTAAGCTAAGAGGGTCTCAAGACCATGATATTTAATTATACATATAATATACTCACCTGTAAAGTAGAATATTGGATGAATCTTCAGTGGATTCTTTTTTTTTCTCTGATCTGCAAAAAAATAAAAATAAAAATGGATGAAACATGATGAGCAAATCGTAAGAGAAGATTGACCTACTCAAAATGGGAATATGGGCCAATGATATCATCTTCCCAGTTTTACCCAGCAATATGAATGTCCTTATTTAAAATTCCAACCATGTTGAAAATTCCCAGGTTAAATATGCAGTTTGACACAGATTCCAAGAATAATGGGGGGTTTTTTTGGGACAGAAAGTTGATCATAAGGAAATTTCCAGTGGAGCTTTATATGAGGAAGTTCATCTACGTCAATGAAGATACCTGTAGTAGGGATGGGAACAGGGGTGGGCTGCTGGGGGTTCGCAAGGGGTTCGGGAGAACCTCTAGCTAAGATTTTGTGCAGTTCGGAGAACCCCCCAAATCCCACTCCTGGCTGCCCCCCCTCCCCCGTCCCCCCAGGAGTCCCCATGCAGGCCCTTTTGGATGCAGGTAAGTGCAGGATGCGCGCGGAGAGGGCAGAAAACTGTCCTACCGGAAGTTCAAGAAGGCCAGAAACAGGCCAGTTTCCAGCCCCCAAAGGGCCTCCGGAGCCTGGGGAGGTCGTTTTCGCCCTCCTGGAGGCTCGAGGAAAGCCTCTGGAGCCCAAGGAAGGCAAAGATTCCCCCCCCCCGCCCACCGTGGTGTTAGGCCACGCCCACCATGGCCACGCCCACCCAGCAACTGGGCAGAGAACCCCTTGCTAAAATTTTTGAAGCCCACCCCTGGATGGGAAAGGTATCACAGATGATGGAATTTGACATCTGCCGGTTTAACGTTTCCTTTGTAAAATTCCATAGACATGATAGGGCAATAGCACAGAAATGATCTCACCTGGAAGCTCTTAAATATTGTTTGGAACTGCAAAACAAGCTCAGTCCGGATACCTTCAACCTGGATGGATGGCCTGCAAAGGAAACCATTAGGAGACCAAACTTAGCTTTACTCTTCCTTGCAAACATCTTATGGTTAACCTAACATATGAAGTAAGACCAACCAAACAGCTGTCTAACATCGCCTGTAGCACCATCAGCTTCAGTGCACATCACCTGTACACCACAGGGGTCCACCATTTGCACTATCATGGTTATGCATGATAACTGTGTATCTATTTATCCAGGAAAATATAAGTTACTGGGTTCACAGACCATTGACTGATCATCATGCTTTATATGACACAGCAATTGAATTCATACTACGCATTATGCCAAAATAAGGGGGTAAGGTAAAGGTAAAGGTTCCCCTCGCACATATGTGCTAGTTGTTCCCAACTCTAGGGGGCGGTGCTCATCTCCGTTTCAAAGCCGAAGAGCCAGCGCTGTCCAAAGACGTCTCCGTGGTCATGTGGCTGGCATGACTCAACACCCAAGGCGCACGGAGCGCTGTTACCTTCCCACCAAAGATGGTCCCTATTTTTCTACTTGCATTTTTATGTGCTTTTGAACTGCTAGGTTGGCAGACGCTGGGACAAGTCACAGGAGCTCACCCCGTTACGCGGCACTAGGGATTTGAACCGTTGAACTGCCGACCTTTCAATTGACAAGCTCAGCGTCTTAGCCATTGAGTCACCGCATCCCTTAAAATAAGGGGGACTGGAGGCTAAAACGTACAAAGAACGGTTGCAGGAACTGGGTATGTCTAGTTTAATGAAAAGAAGGACCAGGGGAGACATGATAGCAGTCTTCCAATTTCTCAGGGGCTGCCCCAAAGAAGAGGGAGTCAAGCTGTTCTCCAAAGCACCTGAAGGCAGGACAAGAAGTGAAGGGTGGAAACTAATCAAGGCGAGAAGCAACCTAGAACTAAGGAGAAATTTCCTGATAGTGAGAACAATGAATCAGTGGAACGACTTGCCTCCAGAAGTTGTGAATGCTCCAACACTGGAAGTTTTTAAGATGATGTTGGATAACCGTTTGTCTGAAGTGGTGTAGGGTTTCTTGCCTAAGAAGGGGGTTGGACTAGAAGACCTCCAAGGTCCCTTCCAACTCTGTTATTCGATTCTATTAAAAAAACAAAATGAAATAGGATGGTCTATTGTGATGGATAAAAGTTATCTGTGGAGTATTGACTTTTGGTATCACGATACGATTCGGAATATTTTATCTGAATCCTTCCAAGCATATCATACTGTATATAGCACATTATATGATAATATAAGCCTATTACTCAAGACGAGTAATCTATCGATGTTGGCTTTTCTGGAAATCATTCTCACATTCACAGTGGACTTGAAAGGGCCCCCCTCCCCCACAAAACCAGTTAAGGAAGCCTTGCTAAATTGGGACGGATATACTGTAGAGTCCGTCTTGCTTATTTGCTTCGGAGATGGTCTTTCCTGGAAAGTGCCAGATTCCAGAAAAATGCACGACTCCGAAGGCAGTTTTGGCCTAGAACAAAGACCGTCTTCCCCTTCTCCCGAAAGCTGTGAAAATACAACTCTGCAAAACCATGCGCGTTTGCACCGTGCAAGGTTTCGCCGACCTCCCTCTTCCCAGGAAGGGCGGATGCCTCCCCCATCACATGCATTTTTCTCATGTTAATTCTCAGCGTGTGGGTGAGAGAGACACCGCAGTCACATTTGCTGCCTTGTGAGTGAGGGGCGGAAAGAGAATCAGAAGGCATGTGCTGCTGTCACCACCGAGGAGTGTGCTTGATGCAGGAGACCAGAATCACGTTAGATGCCGGGCTCCCGCTCAACCAGAAGGCGGATTCCTGATGAAACATACATACATTAAAAAGTTTCCCCTTGCTGCCAAGTGGAATGCAACGTGCTTATTGGCTTTTTGGGGGACTCGAGGATTGCTGGTTTTTGTCACAGTGCAGTTTTTTGGGTTTTTTTAATGAAGCCAAGAGCAATATTTATTGCAATCAGAGACTTCCTGTCCCTCATTCAGCTGTTATATTATCACAAAAAGCTTTACACAGCCTTCCCTTCCTGCTGATTGCCTTTGAATTGCTACTTCTCCAGTTTTAGGGCGATAGACACGAACAGCTTCACTACACTCCATTTTCCCAGAGTGGGAGATGAGAGGGGAGAAAAGCCAAGAGGAGCAATTATTTCAACCTACACCCCCCACCCCCCAAAGGATTGCTCTTTGTTGATTAAGTCCTAATTAACTGGGTTCACAAAGATACCGAGCTGTGGATTACAATCCAGTGACTTAATTGCCAAGAGCCTGCCAAGCTGAAATAGCCAGGCGATCAATTCTTCGGTGGCATTTAAATGTCTAGTGCTTGCTACGATTAAGGGACAGCCATGCTGGAGGTTGTATTTAGAGACAAGACTATCAAAACGTCTGCAAATAGGCCTTTTAAGCAGGAGCTGAAAGTTGCAGGAACCAGGGGAGGAATACAAGAAATAGTCTTGGAACATGAACAAAAAATCTCTTAACTGAACATGCAGACACATCGTGTTAAATTTCCCACATTTGGGAGAAATCGGATCAACCCTGGCTTGGTTTTAAAGTGAAACCCACAGCGTGCTGGGCAAAAAAGAATAAACTCCTAAATTACCTTTCTCCCGTGTGCATAGTGTGCTAGTTGCTAAAATTTCTTACCACTGGGGGGAAAAAAACCCACCAACCATGCAGCCCCAAAGTTCTGTAGTTTTAACCTTAGAAAGTTTCCTTCCTTCTTTTGCAATTTTGGATCCACTGCAGTTGAGCTAGAAATTAGCAACAGCTCAGGAACAGATTCAGGACTTCAAAGGCCTCGTGTAGACCAGGAAATGCCATAATATATCGGAGAACCAGACTAATGTAATGGTTAAGGTGCTGCTGGCCTAAAAACCAGGAGATGGTGAATTCTAGTTCCACTTTAAGGCATGAAATTCAGATGGAGGGTGAACTCTCTCTCAGCCCAACCTACCTGACAAGATTGTTATTGTTCAGAGTGGAGGAGAAAGGAGGACTGTCTTAAGTATGTTTCCACCTTGAGTTACCCCTCTCCCCCCCCCCCCAAAAAAAGACAGGATAAAACCTAATAATAAAAAAATAACTCCTCAGGAAAGACCATTCCTCTTCAGAAAATACACTGGCATTCTGACGCTGATGCAGGATATTAATATACAGTTAAACCGCTGGATATAAACATCACCTGACTCTTTCTTATAATCATCTTTATTCATTGTGGAAGATCCCCCACTAGTATTTACATAGTGCAAAAGCTGTTATTATTCCAAAAAAGTATGGTAGACAGAATTATCCTTCATAAAAAGGAGAACACAGACAGAACATGTTTGTGAAGTAATTTCGTTACGATTTTTTTTTCCTTCTAATTTAAACTTTAGATGTTACTGACATTTAGTGTACAGGTATCAAAGATTAAGAGGCATTACCTAAGTACAGTCTTTAAAAATACATTAACCACATATAAACATGAATTAGGCCGTGCCCCTTATATTGATTTTTTTTTTCTTTTTCAAACTATGGTTTGAAGATTTATTGTTTGTGTAGGACTGAACTGGGCACCAAGCTGTACAGTTTCCATTCATGGCTTTTTTTTTTTTTTAAAAGTGTTCCGTTAGTGATTAAAATCTGGTAAATTGACTGAGCATCTTGATTAATTGGCACAATTTCTCACACGCGCGCGCACACAAACACACACATACATTATGACAATATCAATAGACAGCAGCTTTTCAAACAAGACTTTTTTTGTCCCCCCCATTCCCCCCTCCCCCGTGCCATTAAAATTTAAGAGCATCCAGGTGACAATGGGATTTAGCTACACTGCATAGGCCCACCCGAAGAAGAATCTAAGGTTATCTCCTAGTGATGTGTTCAGAATACATACGAGTGCATCGTTCCAAAGGATCTTTTCCAATTTTTTTTTTTAAAACCCAAACAGCCGATCAAACACTACACCAATCACTGATCAAATCTCAAAAAAGTTTGTAAAAACATGCCATTTACAACGTAAGCTGGGGAACAGGGCGTATAACAGGGGAAGAATACAAGTACTGTAATCGGTTTTGTTAAGATAAAGGCATACATGTTACAATTAACCTACAAACCCCACTTTCTTTATTATTTTGGCCCTCCAAGGATTTCAGTGCATCAGCCCCACCTGGTGTTTTTTCGTTGCCTCGTGGCAGCTCTTTTTTATGCAAATACTGGAAGTGCTTAGGACTATTTCCTCTAACCCAGAGGTCTCCAAACTTGGCAGCTTTAAGACTTGTGGATTTCAACTCCCAGAATTCTCCAGCCAGCATAGCTGACTGGAGAATTCTGGGAGTTGAAGTCCACAAGTCTTAAAGCTGCCAAGTTTGAAGATTTCTGCTCTAACCCATCAGATGTGTAATAACCCCCCCCCTTTTCTCTTTTGCAGTTAGTGAAATTAATTAAAACTGATTTTAAGGAAGAGGAAACATTGCTGAGCTCGGCCCCAATAAAACTGCAGAAACAGGCCCGTCATCCCACCCCCCACCCCCGTTTGTAAGAAAGATCCGTTTCTGCCTGTGTGGAAGTTAAAAGTTATGGAGAAGGAACATCAAGGACTATGGATGAGTTATCGAAAGGATGAACAGAAATGTTAATATCTCACGGCATCGCAAGAAAGACGGAAGACAAGGAAGCACGTTAAACACGGAGTACAATCTAATACACTTCATAGACACATTCTATTCTCGACTCGGTTCTCTGGACACCCCCCCACCCCAAAATGAACACTTTATAAAGTACGGATTTTCAGCCAATGGTACGCTCTTTGTCCTAAAAGAGACCTGCTGAAGTTTGAAGACCAGCACATTCACAGGTGACGTCCCAACGGAGAGACACCAGAATGCTTTGAAAAAGATAACAATGGGAAGAAGGTGTGGCTGTGGGCGTAGGTGGTTGTCTACTGGGCTTTATGCAAACTGGCAAGGGACAAGCCAGAGAGAGGTTTAAGACAACAACTACTGAAGGAGTCATTTTGGTTGCTCAGCACTTCGAAAGGAAGAAGTTTCCACTCGTGGACAATTGGCAAAGGGTACAAGTCGCTACCTGTCCTTTTCCTATTCATCATATACTAATTCCACGTACAAGAGCTAATTATTCAAACTGTCTTTTCTGCAACGCTTCTTAGCACTAGGCGCCCACCCACACACACACATACAATTGCGAAACATTTCCTCTGGTTTTGCTTATTAGAAATAAAGGTACTAGCTTCGAATGTGATCGCTATTGGTCCCAAACGATTAAGAGAGAGCAACCGACCTATGAAATATTTTACAATGCTGGGGATGTCCATATTTTTCATAAGAGCTTGTCTTCCTGCACCACCTCAAACCATCACTGTCCCACCCCGCCTTCCTCCCAACCCCCAACCCCCCGCCCTCACGCAACTTGGGTTGGGTGAAATGAGCGCTAGAAAACTCAGAACAGGCGTGCAAAACTTAAGCAAGCCATTAAAAACAACCCTTTTTTGTCTCACCCGCTCTGAAATTCCACAAAATGAAGGGTATTTTGTGGTAAAGCCTCTCACGTTTATGAAAATTGACAAGCTGTTGGAAGACCAGAGAGCTGTCTACCTTCCCATCAAGACCAATCCCAAGGAAAAAAAGTTAAGTTGATCCGAACAACAATTTTTCCCTTCCCTTTTCTCAACGAACCCCCCCCCCCCCCAAGCTTCATATTTTATTTTATGTTAAATGGTCAATAACCGATTCTAACTTTTTCTTCTATTTACACGGCATGTATGAACTCATAGTAACATTCCTGAGATCAGTGAAAGCATTAAGAAGCAGAACATGGCGTAACTGAAACAGAATGGAAATTAAGAAAACCAAGCAAGGAAAGCTTGTGTTGGTCAATGGGTCCGTTTTGGCAGTCAGCTTGCGGGCAAAGTGATTATGTGGGCAATGTCAGTTTCGAAAATAGATACAGATACATCATTACCAAAGTACCTGCTAAGAGATGTTTCACCAAAGTACCTAGCCAAAATGGATTTAGCCAACTGCAACGAGTCCTTCAGGAGTGTTATTAAACAAATATTATAAAATACTAAGAAGGTGCACTAGTTAATTCATATACATCCTTCTAGCCCTTTTTTTCAGAACACATTTTCATTCTGCTTACAGTCACTTTAACAGTCTGAGCAAAAACAAAAAGAATCATTCTGGCTTAATGTTAGGTACTCAGTGGGCAAATACCTCCCAAAGAAGTTCGCGGCAAGCCAATATTGGTCAATACTGTCAACCCTTTAAAAATAGGTAAGTTTTTTTTTCTTGTTTTTTTTTCAGTTTGAGAAGTTTTGCCTTAAAAATGGTCAGGTGCAAATAGTTTCCTCATAGGGAAAAAAAAGATGCCCAATGACAGCTTAACACACATAGCCTGTTCTAAGAAAAGGTATAAATATTAATCACACATGCAAACTCTAGGTCTCAACGGAGAAGTGATAAAGACCGCTACAAAAAAAAAAAAAAAAAAAAGGGTGAATTAAATACGGGTATTAAATGTTACACAGTGCAAAATGCCGAGATGAAGCACACGAAGCAATGGCTGCAATCCTTACAACAATTAGTTTCTCTCTTTTTTTTAAAATAGTAAAGTTTCCTGAGTCTGGGCTTAAAGTTCACGGCATATAATTTGAGTCTGTGTGTTTTGAATCGAGGGGAGTGCAGGGATTGGATTTCTGTTGGGCTTTATTCACAGCCTTGTCTGATGTCCATTCCTCGCTGTCAAGAACCACCTCGGCTTGTTCAGGCGCTTCCACTTCTTCCTCCTCGCTCTGCTCCACGTTCTCATCTTCTGCCCCACTGAGGGTCTTCCCGAGCTGAAGGGTTTCCATCGTCCGCTGAGTCTCCGAGACCCACGATTCAATTCTGCTGTTGAGCTGAACTTCCTCGGAGATGGGTTCGTGGGCGTAGTCCTCCTCTTCCTCCTCCTCTTCCTCCTCCTCATCTTCTTCAAGCATTCCTGGCACAAGAGTACTTGTTGTACTGGTCATGGAAGAATTCAAAATGTCCCGGCAGCTGCCATCTAAAGATCCGGTGTCTGTACTTTGCTGGGAGGCCCATTCCAGGTTGTCATCTGGCTTCGCTTCCTCCTTCCCACTTAGTGGTTTCCCCTGGGACGCCACGGTGATGAGGCCAACGGCAGCCAGAGATAAGGGTTTACCAGCAGTGACATTAGGGTTGCCAGGTTTTTCTGAAGTAGTAACCTTGCACACCGCTTCTCTTTCGTTTTCCGAGGCTTCCAAGCCATCTGAGGTTTCCACCATGTTCCTCCAATTTGTTTCTGGTGGGGGGGAAAAATGCAGAATATTTGGGGAAAGGCTATAAAACAACATGAAAAGTGCACTTCTATGTTAAACAAGCTGCCAGGGACATCTAGGTAACGTCATCGCCATTCCGGGAAAAGCTTTTGAACAATACAGTTACTGAAATGCTGGTACAGGTCACAAAAACAAGCATTGTTTCCAGCGTGCCGTGGTGTTAACAATACTGAACACAAATTTGGTGCATTGTGAGCAAATGCTTAATGTTGCAAAACAATATAATTGGGACTATTGTCCAGTTAAGCACTTTAAATGCTAATAATTAAAATGTAAAAAAACAAACAAACCAAAACTTCTGTCTATAGCAAACCTAAGAAGAAAGGGGATGGGAAGAAGCAATTCTAAGAATGCAAACTATTGTTTCCGTGAATAAAACTCTACGTGAAAATAAGACAAATTTTAGCCTATGAGAGTTTAACTATTTGTTTCCAAATCAGCAACCAGAGACATACTGAAGAGCATTTGAAATAAAGCTATGGTGTAGTACACCACTGCTCCTTAATTGTTTTAATCATTCTGATCTTAATGTTGTTAAGTCTCCTATTTTATTTCTTTAGTTTTCGGGGTTATGAAGTAAATTTGGTCTAATGCAAGGGTCAGCAACCTGTGGCTCTGGAGCCGCATGTGGCTCTTTCACCTCTCTGCTGTGCTCCCTGTCACTCCAAATAGGTGTCACAACTGCCAATGTGCGACACCCGCCGGCATGAGATTTATTGAGCTTTTTAACCCCCAGTAGGCCAACCATGGATAAATCCAAGAAAAGAAAAGTTTCAGAAGAAAACAGAACGTTTAATTCAACTACATATGCTAGTTTTGTGGCCGCTCAAGAAATAGTCAGGCACAGGAAGGGCTTTGTGGCTCCCGGTGTTTTCTTTTCTGTGGGAAACGGGTCCAAATGGCTCTTTTGAGTGTTTAAGGTTGCAGACCCCTGGTCTAGAGGCAAAACACAGCTTTGCCATTAAAAAAATAATTACCCAGTGGTGAACTAAAGGGAGAACTAGAGAAAGATGTGTTGGAATGTGTTAAGAATAGGCATTATTTTGAAAGGCAAGCTTACCATACTCCTTCTCGTTCACCTCCGAAATGGGCTCTGAAATCACGCTGCAGAATGAAATGGCGCTGGCTGCCGAAGGGTTCCGGGAATGGCCCATGTGGTGAGGCACCTTCTTAATATTCTTTAAGGCCTCCTCCTGTTCTTGCTCCATGGCTGAAACCATATCTCGGTAGGCTTTCCTGGCCTCTTCCGTCAGAGAGACCAGTTTATTAAAGAGGTTCTAGAAGACAAAGAGCCCACTAAGAGAAGGGAAACTACCATCAGAGGCTTCCAGATTGCTTGCATTGCTTTCTTGGAAGGTTTCGTGTTTGTTTTCCCCTTTTAAGTATTATTTGTCCAATAAACAAACAAATAAAAACTATTTTAAGATATACTGTATTTTTCAGAGTATAAAACACTCCAGAATATAAGACGCACCTTAGTTTTTGGGGAGGAAAATAAGAAAAATAAAATCTGCCTCTGCCTACCAGCATCTATCGGTATTCATTGGCTAGCGTCCTGTTAGTATGTGAGAGTTGAGGGCTGTTTGGAAACTGAAACAGTATTTGCTATGTCAGCAACAAGAAGGAGACAGCAAGGAGGCTGGATGTGGCTTAGCTCTGCACTCTGAGTCTATGCTAACTAGTCTGCTGCTCAAAACTGAAACTGAAACCCCTCTCCTCTGCTTGTGTTTTGCTTGGAAAATCTGCTTTGGGTATTGTATATTTTACTTCATGTGTTATATTATATATAAAGAGAAGTTATTGAATCCTGCTGAATCAGTTACTTGTGGGTGCTTTCTGGAAGTGATTGCTGCTGCAAACTCTTAAGTCCTTGCAGCAAATAGCAAACAGTCAGGTCAGCTTCAGCACATTATTGCAGCCTGATTAAGCACCAGCAGCTGAATGGCAGGTGGCTTGGCCTCCCGGAATACCCCCAATCAGCTGTTCCAGACTGTAGGGATTGCCGCAGACCATCCCCGCCTCCGTGCCTCGCGTTTTTGGCTACATTCAGTGTATAAGACGCACCCAAATTTTCACCCTCTTTAAGGGGGGAAAAAGTGCGTCTTATACTCCGAAAAATATGGTATTTATATCCCACCTTTAATGTTTATAAATTACCCAAGACCCCAAACACACACAACACTCCCTTCCTACTCCTATTTTCCCCATAACCACCACCCTGCAGTGAGTTGGGTTGAGAGTGATCGGCCTGACGTCACCCAGCTGACTTTTACGGCTAGGTGGGACTAGAATTCAAGGTCTCCTGATGAACGGTCCAAAATCATCCAGCTGTCTTTCGTGCCTAAGGCCAGACTAGAATTCAGAGTCTTTTGGTTTCTAGCCTGGTGCCTTAACCACTAGACCAAACTGGCTCTACATAAATATAAAATGTAAAAAAAAAAATGTACATATATGTGTCTGATTACCCCAAGGTTGGCTTTTATCCTTTAAAAAAAATAATAAAAAAATTAGGATATCTCATAGTTGTGTCTATGGAAAGGAGTATGAGCACCAAACCCACTTCAAAGATTTGGGAAGAAACAACACCACACCCAAATGGCAGATTATTTTAAAACACAGAAAAAGAATGGAATTTATTTTCAGGCATCATTGAGAGGGTTAGGAATGCCATGGACAATGAACTCCATCCTTCCAGAGTTGACTGAGCAGCTCTTACCTCAGCGCCTGAAAAATTGAAGATGCCCACCACGCTGACAGGAACTAACTTATTTACGCAGCGGCCAAGCGCTTTGCGTCCGAGGGCAAAGACAAAAGGGATTTCTTGTTCCCGAGCCATGGCGATCACGTTATACAAAGCTTCATCTAGTCCACCTTGAGGGCACATTGAGAAACAAACAAAAAACAAAAAACAAGATGAAGAACTTCCTCACAATGAGATCAGACGTAAGTGAACTAATTTTATTTATTTAAAAATTTTAAACCACTCAAAAGCTGAAGTTCTTTGGATAGTTTCCGGTAAAAATTTACTGTGTTAGTCAAACAAAAATCAGAGGAAAATTGTATGCATGCAAAGTATCCAAACCAAATGAATTTGAAGCTGACTTAAAAAATGAAGTAGCAACAGCAATAGCACTTAAGACATACATATACAGCTCCATAGTGCTTTACAGGCCTCTCTTAAGCGGTTTACAGAGTCAGCATGTTGCCCCCCAACAATCTCGATCCTCATTTTACCAACCTCAGAAGGATGTAAGGCTGACTCACCCTTAAGCCGTTCAGAATCGAACGCCTGGCAATGGGCAGAGTCAGCCTGCAATACTGCGTTCTAGCCACTGCACCACCATGGTATCAGCAAACACTTCTCTAATGTGAAGGTACCTCAAACATATCTAGTATTGATCTCTGCAATTGAACTGAATTCCTCAAGACAGTGTTTCTCAATCTTGACAACTTTAAGATATGTGGACTTCAACTCCCAGAATTCCCCAGCCAAGCATTGCTGAAGGGGAATTCTGGGGAATTTTTAAGCCATATATGACCCCTGATCTAAGCAATAAGCAATTCTGACTTCAGTTCGTCTTTTTGGGATCTGTCACGATCTCAGCCAGGTGCTGCCATCTGCTGTAGCCCATAAACATCTACCCTGCAAATGCAAAAACAATTCGCTGATGCATAATATGTGAAAGAGCCTAAATGTCATCTCCAGGAAATGAAAAGTGCCATTTTTAACTCAAGGGCACCATCTACAGCCAGCCAGAAAAGTAAAATATTGCTTCCATTTCAGAAAGCTGCTTGTTCAAAAGTGAGATAATCAATTATTCTTAGTGGACAACTTATCAAGCAAGAAGGGTGCTTGGAAAGAAAATTAGTCTCCCTAGTTCAAAAGATTGAGGTAGACAGGTACTTAAAAGGTAATAGATTATCCCAAATACAATTGTGTTCTCTGACACCCCCGCCCCCCCCCCAAAAAAACCACGCACAAAAGTTTTCATGTCTGTCTATTCGCTTCTCTGCAGCTGCAGATCCTGTGTCACACCAAAAATCATCCCTAATAGTCTTCTAAAACTCCTGGAGGAACTTCTTGAGAAGGTGAAGGCTGCAACAGGGAAAAGCCTAAGGATGGCTCAATGATCTAGGGATATGGCACCTTAGATGGCAATAGAGCAGGGCTGTCAAACTCGATTTCATTGAGGGCCACATCAGGGTTTTGTCTGATCTCGGGGAGGGGGGGCGGAATGGGTATGGCCAGCATGACATGACTCGTATTAGGGGGGCACCTGTGGTGGCCCGAGCGCTCTGCCAGCGAAAACAGGCTCCCAAGCTCCATTTTTGGCTGCGACGGCTTCCTACAACCCTCTGCCAGCGAAAACGGAGCTCAGGGGGGGGGGGCTGTACGAGGCCCTCGTGAGCTTTTGTTTTCGCCTGGGATGGCCTCCTGCAAGCTTCTGCCAGGGTAAACAGAGCTCGGGAGGGCTGCGCACGGTCCTCACAAGCTCCGTTTTCGCTGGCCGAGGCACCATGGGCAAGTCCTTCATTGTTTCCAGGTTTGCCCCACGGGCCAGATCTAAGCACCCCGCGGGCCAGATCCAGCCCCCAGGCCTTGAGTTTGACACCCTTGTAGTAGAGTGTTTAATATCTAAAGGACAGCAACAGGGGAAAACAATCAGCAAAATAATCCAGTGTTAAAAAGGAAAAAGACTCATAAGAGAAGATACCCCGTAGGAGTTGTGTATACCTTTGGACTGAATCTTCTCACAGTTGGGAGAAATAATGACACACTTGATCTTGCTTAGCTTCATGTGCTTGGTAACTTCCCGCAGGCCCATCACAAGCCTCCTCTTTGCTTTGGCTTTTATAGGATCCTTCTGATAAATTCGTTCTTGGAAGCTGACAAGCTCTTGTAACAGGAGAGTCACACATTCGTCGATTTCTTTACTGAGAACTTGATTACAGTACCTGCACGTTCAGGAGAGCAGAAAGACAAATTTCAGCAATGCCGATCTGGATCTATTAAGTTGGGGGAAAAGCGTTTTCCTTTTTAAATTTATCTTAAAGATTCTTTTTAAAGTTCTCTTTCTGAAACTATGTTTAGTTTCATCTGCCATAAATTGAGAGCCATGATGAAAAAAAAAAATGTTCAGGAGTGTGTATGTTTAAGAGCTTTGTTACCTGCATTACAAGCTGTGCTTCTTACGTACTAAGTGCTACCTACACCAGTGAGGGCAATCCTTTTCGGCACGTGGAAACGTTGTGTACGTGTGCGCATGCTCGTTGGGGCCGTGCTCCGGAAAAGCCAAACTTCCGGGTTCAAAAGTCCAATTGGGCTTATTATTGGGCCTGGTGGCTCAGCAGACTGATAGCATTGTGATTAACATCAGCTGTCTGCAATTACTGTAAGTTCGAATCTCCCCAGGCTCAAGGTTGATTCAGCCTTCCATCCTTTCTAAGGTAGGTTAAATGAGGACCCAGTTTGTGGGGGCAATAAGCTGACTTTGTATAAATATACAAAACTATGAAGGCTATTGCTTAACGCATTGTAAGACGCCCTGAGTCTCCGGAGAAGGGCGGCATATAAATCAAATTTAAAAAAAATTTTTTATCAGGGGATGTCTTATTTTCAGGGAAACAGGGTATTTACCATACTTTTCAGAGTATAAGACACACTTTCCCCCTCCCCCAAAAGAGGGTGGAAATGTTGGTGAGTCTTATACACCGAATACAGCCATTTTTGGCCTCCCGAAACCCTGCCCTGCGAATCCCATTTTTGCCAAAAACAGGCCAGTTTTTCCCAAAAACGGAACTCTCAGAGGGTTTGGGAAGCCTGCAGAGTGCTCCTGGGGGCCGGGAAAAAGGGCAAAACCTTTTTTTTGTTTTCCTCTTCAAAATCTTGGTGCGTCTTATACTCCGCTGCATCTTATAGTCCGAAAAATACGGTAAGTGGAACAGAAATACCTCCCTGTAGGAATTTAAGTTCATTCTACTTGAGCCAATCTGTTTCCTTTGAAAAAGTCCTACAGAATGCAAGTTTTTTTTTCTTTTTTTTAAACAAAAAGCTTACTCTCTGAATCGTTTGCTGTGAATTTTGGTTATAGTGGACGATGCCATGGGGCTTCCTATCCCTGAACTTGCAGGTGAACCTTGGGAGACGGGAGTCATGCAGTAAGGAGAATTCTGGCTTGCGGGAGACAGGGAGGTGTCACTCGGCACACTCAGACCGGTTTCTGGGAGAGAGAAGAAAAAACACACCAGTCATAAAGTTGCAGCATGGAAAATTGCATTGTTTCTCTGTGTCGTGTGTGTGTGTGTGTGTGTGTGTGGGTGGGTGGGTGTGTGTTTGCATAATGGTTGTCCTATGAGAGCTGAATGCAACAAAATTTCATTTTAATGTATGCTGATTACATGGACATTTAAAATGACAATATAGTTCTACTCCTATCCTATGCTATGCTATTCTTTCAAATGTATACACAATAATCTGGTTAACTAATGGTCAGCATTAAATTGGCTGTAGATAAGGGTCACTGGAATTCAAGAGGGGACAGTTCTCTTGTGGCAATGCAAGAACTCTAAAATGATGATGCATTTAACTCCGCCCCCGCCTCCCAGCTCTTCATGCTCTTCTCCCACAGGTGGCACTCAAAAGGAGGGATTCTGTGTCAAATATCCTCCATTATTTCTAGTTCCATCTCCTCATAATCCTCAGAAATACTAAGTTTACATGTCTTTCTTCATAGACCAGTATCAGGAAAGCCAAGGGACCTTTTAAAAAACCTCTCCCAGGAAATTAGTTAAGAACATAGTACAGCAGGTGATGAATGGAACAGTCACACCCCACCTCTTGTTCGCCAGTTTAAAGTCTTGTGTAGATAAGATTGCAATAAATTATTTTAGACCATTGTTTCCATGAGCAACTGGATTCAGAAGGTTCCAGGGCAGGGGTGAAATCCAGCAGGTTCTGACAGGTTCTGGAGAACCGGTAGCAGAAACTTTCAGTAGTTTGGAGAACTGGCAAATACCACCTCTGACTGGCCCCAGAGTGGGGTGGGAATGGGGATTTTGTAGTATCCTTCCCCTGGAGTGGGGTGGGAATGGGGATTTTGCAATATCCTTCCCCTGGAGTGGGGAGGGAATGAGGATTTTGCAGTATCCTTCCCCCAGGAGTGGGGAGGGAATGAGGATTTTGCAGTATCCTTCCCCTGCCATGCCCACCAAGCCATGCCCACCAAGCCGTGCCCACAGAACCAGTAGTAAAAAAAATTGAATTTAACACTGTTCCAGGGTGATATTTACTGAATCAAAAGCCCATTAAACATGTGTTTGGTTATACAATGGCTATTGCACATATTAATATAAAGACATGTGTCAGGTTGATCTAACCTTCTTGAGATGTTAGTTCTTCTGCCTGGTTGGAAGCCAGAGTCACCTCTTGCTCCTCATCACCTCCCAAAAGGCTATGATCCGTCGTTAACCGTCCTTTCTTTTCTTCTCTCTCTTTCAAAATAATCTGAAATAAACCCAATTAGGATATTGTGAATATTTTTTTTTTGCTGGCTCAGGAATCCTGAGAGTTTGAAGTTCGCAGGCTGTAAAGGTTGCAATCAGGTTGCCCACCCGTGATATTGTTAAAATAGAAAGCTCGCACTTTAGGAAACCCATTTACCTTTTTCAGGGCTGTAGGACGCTTCAACTTGGAGAGCTCTCTCTCTTTTCCTCGTTTCACTTTTGGGCTAGTGATATCCAAAGGGTTAATGCAACCCACCGATGGCTGCCCTTTGGAGAAGGACTTTCGGCTGGGGGATTCTTTGGTGTGAAAAGGAATCGCACTGCCAACTGAAGATAAAACAAAACAAAACAAGGTATGCAAAACAAAAAAAGGTATGGCTGAATTGATGCCGCTGGGAGGGAACAAGGGTGTTTTCCCAGTGGTTTGCTCTCCTCCCACCTCCTCCACTCTCATTAAAATGCCTTTTCCTTCACTGGAATTAAAAAAAAAAAAAACAGATTACAACAGCAAGAAAATTATGCACAGAGATGTTGCTGTTTGGATATTATCTCTTGTTCTAAGAAAGTAATTAGGGAGAAAGAATAGAAACGTACTGAACAGCAGGTTCATAAAGATAAGGAATGCTATTTGTTAATTCCTTTTGATAACTTCTATAAAAAAAAAACACACCCTCACAAAGTGTCCCACAACATTGTTAGCTTGGTCCACATCACAGGATTTTGGTCTACAAATCACAATACCTGGAGTTGCACAATAGGCAGAATTCTGCCTTAGTGTGATAATAGCAGCCTTTATTGTCATTGTACATCATGTATACAACGAAATTGGTTTAGCCCAGTGATGGCTAACCTTTTCCGGACCGAGTGCCCAAAGCGTGCACCCAAACCCCCAAAATGCAATGCGCACGGGCCCTGTACATGCACCCTGTCCCCGAGCATGTGCACGGACCCCTGCATGTGCCTCGTTCCTGCATGGGCGCACCCCCCACAGCCCCCCCGTCCCCCATGCATGCACACGCATGCATGGGGGACAATTGATTATTGTCTCGTTCTCTAGGGGCCGTCAGCCGACATTGCTTGGCCGACAGAACCCCAAGTAGGCCATCTCTGTGTGAGCGCACCGGGCGATGGGGAGCTGTTGCTGGCTGCAGGTGATCAGACAGATACCCCGGGCCTAAGCCATATAGGGCTTTATAGGTAATCACCAACACCTTGAACCTCACCCATAGGGCAACCGGTAGCCAATGCAGGTCACGCAGGAGGGGTGTGACATGGGAGCGTCGGGACACTCCCATCACTACCCACGCGGCTGCATTCTGCACCAGCTGAAGCCTTTTCCCGCGATGCATGAGCTCAAATCACAATTGCACCCCAAGGTTCAAAGGAACATTTTGCATGGAGAGTAGCCACCATTGATCCATGGCGAAGGTATTTGGGCTACCGAGGAACGTCACACTGTACTTCTAAAGGATTCCGGACCAAAAGGAGACAATGCAGTTATTACACCAGTTCTCTCTGATGGAAGGGATGCTGGAGAATTGCGTGGCTACGCAGAGCGGCAAAGGGAGACATACCAACCTGTGTACGAGAGGGGCCTGGTGTTTGTGATCTGACGGGCCTTCATCGCCTGCTGCTGTTTTTCAAGCGCTGCCAGCATGTCCCCCAAGTCTAACTGCACAGGAGTTTTACTCTTCTTTCCGGCTGCTTTTGAAACAGCTTCCTAGAGACGGGATGATAACGTGAGAGGTCACTTTCAGTGGCCAAAGTGATCGTTTCAATCAGGCCGTCCTGGCTTCTATAGTATTTGAGGCTGTTCTGTTCCTTTGACCGTAAAAAGGTGGTGGTGGAAGCTAGCAGTGGATTTTACCATAGGAACAGGCTCATTAAGGAATCTAGACAGATAGTCCTTGACTTACGACAATTCAGCCCAACATTTCTATTGTTAAGGGAGACATTTGTTAAGTGAGCTTTGCCCCGTTTTACCACTTTCCTTGCCTCATTTGTTAAGTGAATCACTGCAGTTGTTAAGTTGGTAACAGGTTGGTGGAGTGAATCCAGCTGCCCCATGGACTTTCAGTGTCAGAAGGTTGTAAAATGACCCCGGGACACTGCAACCGTCACAAATATGAGCCCGTTGCCAGGTGTCTGAATTTTGATCACGTGATCACGGGGATGCTGCAGCGATCATGTGAAAAAAACAGTCATAAATAACTGTTTTTTCTCCCCAGTTCCGTTGCAACTTTGATCGGTCCCCTAAATGAACTGTTGTAAGTCGAGGACTACCCGAGACATGATAAACAGAAAACGAGATTACAGAATCCCAAAAGGTAGTGTAGCATTTCATTTACTGCAGGAAACTATCTTGCAGGATTAGTAGGGCACCTGAGTCGAGGGACCCTCCATCCAAACCTTTCCAACATCAAACACTGCAATCTGTCCGCCTAAGATCAATGTTTCTCAACCTTGGTAGCTTGAAGATGGGTGGACTTCAACTCCCAGAAGATGGGTGGACTTCAACTCCCAGAATCCCCCAGCCAGCAGCGCTGGCTGGGGGATTCTAGGAGTTGAAGTCCACCCATCTTCAAGCTACCAAGGTTGAGAAACACTGGCCAAGATTGAAATCCAGACTGCATTTCCATTATACGATTAAAACAGACCTGAAGTTTTCTCTGCTCCATGCTGATTTCTGAATACTCTTGGGCGGTAGCTAGTGCTGCTGCGAGAGCTTTCTTCTTTTGACTTTTGGCTCTTTTGGGAACAGAGGTGGTGATGGGAATTGGAGTCTGTACTATGTTGATTGGAGAATTTTCAGGTAGACCATCCAACTAAAGAGGAGATGGTGATAAGTTATAAAGGGGATGCAGTGTTAAAAAGAGATATAGCATAAGCAGCAGCTCATCATACATCTTGTTTTCCTAGAGCTGATCTTCTTTATCTAGTATTTTTTCCTAAGTGGGTAGTCTGTTTTGTGTACACAACTCCACCCACTAATGTCTCTAATTACCGTATTTTTCGGAGTATAAGATGCACTTTCCCCCCTAAAAGAGGCTGAAAATTTGGGTGTGTTTTATACCCCGAATGTAGCTTTTTTGAAGCCTTTTTCAGCGCTAGTGAGTGAAGCGATCTTCCGCACTTAGCCTGCTTTTCTCATTGCTTCTCTCTCCGAAGATCAGCTGTGCTTTAGCTGTTTTTCAGCCCTAACAAGACGCTAGCGAGCAAAACGATCTTCCATGCTTTGCCTGCTTTTCTCAGTGCTTCTCTTTCCGAAGATCAGCTGTGCTTTAGAAGCTGTTTTTTATCCCCAATCAGGCTCGTGCGGGCTCAAAACCAGCAAACTAATGTGCTGAAGCTGACCAGACTAAGGACGCTAGCCAGATGAATACCTGGTAGGCAGAATTTTTTTTCCTGTTTTCCTCCCCAAAAACTAAGGTGCGTCTTATACTCCAAAAAATACGGTATACTTAAAACCTTATTTAACTTAATAATATACAATTCCTAGTTTAGAGGCACTCAAAATTAGCAACCATGATTTGATTGAGAAGGACTACAGGTTCTTGATGCTGGTTTGTGTTGCACCCAAAATGTGTTTTTTAGTGCATCCCCAAAGATGCTCATAGTTAAGGTATGGTAAAGTCTCTCTGGCTAAACTCGCTGCCTGGTTACTACATTAGCATGTCTGTGGGATTTGGGGTTGCTACAGAACCTTCACTCCTGATATTGCCTGTAGTCTCCCAGCCAAGTAGTAATCTGCTTTAAACTGAAAATCCGGATTTTAAGAAATCAAATGTTATGCATCTTCACAATGCCGGTCTATTGCTTTTGTGTGTGTGTTCCCAAGGAATGCTCACTTTTATTGCTCATTAAAAACCAGCCAGGATGTATTGAAAAGAAAAATAACCTCATCACAGTTCTATCCTCCAAATAGAATAACGTCGTTTACCATTTTGGGTGTGTGCTTCAGCTGCACGTTATTAGCTTTAGAATGTCCGCTATCGCAATTTAGCTCTGGGAATTCTTCTTCATCCTGAACAAACAAAAAATGGAAAAGTCATTAACTGAAATTCACAGGAAAAAATATCTGTATTTTGCAAGGAAAGCATTATTCAGCTAAAGATTGGTGGAAACTGGCAAATGCATAGGAATGATACCAAAAGGGATAAGCATGAAACGATATTGGAATTTGCAGGAAAGATATTGTTATCACATGCCAGGATATATTGGAAACAAATTGAAAGATGTTACTAGCAATTCAAAAAATAAGCTTTAATATTTTAAAATCAGCAAGCAGGACGCAGTAAGATGTAGCTATCAACCAATTCAAAATCTTCACTTGTCTTAGTGAATGAAAGTTGTCATAAACAAGATTAATGAAAGAGTTACCCCAAAATATAGTAGTTCAGGGCTCTGCTCTACTCTGTTTGACTGGTTTGTGATTACTGGTTTCTCAATTTTCTTCTGCAAACTCTGTTTCCTTTCTGAAGATGTGCTGTGACCTCTACATTTAAAACCAGGCTATACAAGCAAATAAAAAGAAAAATATTAGGACTGTCCCTTTTAAGTTGCAGTATGAAAGCACCCATGTAAATCCCAAAGTATGTGTTAGCTATCTTGTTTGCCAAGTGAAAATATGTGACTGTAGAAATGTGACAATAAAAAGTTGAACAGTCTTCACAGAGTGGAGCAGAGTAAATGGACTGGCATTACAAAAAGTTAAAAGACTGATTCATGCAGTTCAGTATTTCATCAGCTCATTTGGATTCCATAATGCCTAAACCCAAGTTTAATGGGAAACCAATTCAATAACATTGACATGTTTAACAGTGTATGCAGATTGCCAATTCTGTAATCATCTTTCAGGCAAGAGACACAAACGAAAGAACGTAGCAAGAAGGTGGAGAACTTCATTTCACTAATAACCTTTGCAAAGGAGAAGCACATTTCTTTCTAATGTAAGAAATTCATTAAATGAAGTTGTATAAAATTTACTGATTAAGGGATTCTGCAACGATCTATTTATCAGCCTATGCAGTTTGTTGCGATCTGAGCTGAAAGTTCCTAAAATCTTGGAAATGGCAAGAACGTGCTTTCAGACTGAAGATCGAGCCAATAGAGCATCTCGCTATGTATTCAACTAGAAGTTGCTCCCAGTACCATATTTTTCAGAGTATAAGACATACTTCCCCCCCCCATAAGAGGCTGAAAATTTGGGTGAGTCTTATACTCCGAATGTAGCTTTTTCAAAGTTTTTCAGCCCTAACGAGGCACTAACGAGTGAAGCGTTTGCTTTTCTCATTGCTTCTCTCTCCAAAGATCAGCTGTGCTTTAGAAGCTGTGTTTTATCCCCAAGTAGGGGATAAAAAGCGCAGGTGCAAGTGAACTAATGTACTGAAGCCAACCAGACTAAGGATGCTAGCCAGATAAATACCTGTTAGGTAGATTTCCCCCCCTCCCCCATTTTCCTCCCCAAAACCTGAACTGTGTCTTATACTCCGGTGCGTCTTATACCTCGAAAAATACGGTATATTTCTACCCAAAAAGGCGGCTTGAAGTAGCTATGGGGAAACTATACCTCTGAATCGTGCTGATGTTCAGGCTGCCTTCCACCTCTGGAGAAAGAGTTTCTCTCTATCCAAGGCTTCTTCTGAGTTGCCTGAGAACTGACGCTTGCCCAGGTGGCACCAACTGAGACAAGCATCACAGAAGTTTAAGGAAAGATTATCATGTGAAAAGAGAAAAACATGCAAAGAATACATGTAACTTTTTTTTTACGTAGGAAAAAAACCCCCAAAACTCCATACCTTTAAGAAAGCCAACGAGATGTTGGATCTAACCAGCATGTAAATTCACATAATTTTTTTTGCTCATTTACATGGTTAAAGGTAAAGGTTCGCCTCGCACATATGTGCTAGTCGTTCCTGACTCTAGGGGGCGGTGCTCATCTCAGTTTCAAAGCCGAAGAGCCAGCGCTGTCTGAAGACGTCTCCGTGGTCATGTGGCCAGCATGACTAAACGCCAAAGGCACACGGAACACTGTTACCTTCCCACCAAAAGTGGCCCCTATTTTTCTACTTGCATTTTTTACGTGCTTTCGGACTGCTAGGTTGGCAGGAGCTGGGACAAGTAACAGGATCTCACCCTGTTACGCGGCACTAGGGATTCGAACCGCTGAACTGCTGATCTTTCGATCAAAAAGCTCAGTGTCTTAGCCACTGAGCCACTACATCCCTTTTACATGGTTACAGCACAAAAATAATATAGATACAGAGCAGTCTGTCAGCAACATCTCCTTCTTTAAAGAGAGCGAGCAATCTTGAAATATACAGTATAGCTACCATTCTCATTTGCTTGTTTTTCATATACGATATATTTTATTTCTAATTGAACAGATTTCTATTTTTATGTTTTAATTTTTAGCATAGGGGTACAAGGAGGCTCTCAATATAATTGCAATCCTTAAGAACTAATCAATGGAATTGTAGCCAAACCGGGAGGGGTGTGTGTGGAAAAGGAGACAGATTACCAGGAATTACTAAAATGTTAATTACGAAGTGTTTTTTAAAAAGTGCTATCTTGACACTACTCACAAAATATTCTGAGGAGAAAAAGCTGGACACGTTCAGAAAGGAACCCACAGTATTTAAACATTGCAATGTAGAAAAAGATTAAGGGTGGAGAATTTAATAAGTTAAAGGCAGTTAAAGCAACAAAATGTATCCATCACACGTAGACACAGACACACACAGAGCAATGCTGTAAACTTGCAAAGCAGGAAACTTTTACCTGGGTGTACGGATGATTCTTTGATCTGAAAATGAATTTAAAAAAACAAGTTGTAGAGGTTATTTTACATTGTTTAATATCGCTTTCTACTCTTGAACTTTTCAGGTGTCTACCTACATTTGTTCCGGCCGATTCAGCACTTCTGGGTATGGTTGCCCCTGCTTGGTTGCTGTGCTTGGGACTGCAATAGCCGCTGTCGCTATCAATATCGGCTTCACTGGCCCCCTGCTCGCTTGAGGACTCGGCAGGGTGGGAGGTTCGCCGTCGCCTGCCCCTTGGCTTCCAGTGCAGACCACTCACGCTCTCGGACAGGGACTTGCTGGCAATCTCTGAAGGGAAGTCTGCAAGACAAAGAAGAGTCTCCAGAATTGACAAGGGTTTAACACGGGGGTGTCCAACCATGGGAACTTTAACACTTGTGGAACTTCAACTTCCAGAATTCCCCAGCCACTCAACTTCCCAAGGTTGGACACCCCTGGTTTTAATGGGCAACTTCCTTCTTGAGAAAGCGTATGTCAGGTTTCGATGTCATCTCAAATAAATTGCACTCCCAAGCAATTAATCTTTGCTGAAATATTCCATTTATTGAGTATGACAGATCTGGCCCTGACTTCGTCGTAGCCGATACTAACCCTCTGACCCTCAAACCCTTCCCTTTCCTTTCCCCAATTCTCATCTTCTCATTGGCCATCTTCCAAGTCAGTCTCCCCAGCTTCTGACCTCAACCCACAGGAATGTCCCCCCTCCCATCCCATCTCCTAGGGGATATTATCTACAGAGAAAATAAGTAGGTGAAAAGTCAAGCCTCGTCTCCTCCTTTTTATGGCAGCATCAGAATGCTGACAGCATATGTTGGTGGCCACCAGGACAAAGCTTCTAAATTAAGAGAAAGGCCACTGGTTTGGAGAAGAATGAAATCTACTTGTTAGGAATCACAGACATTCTTCAGTCTCCATTATTGATTGCCTTCGTTTGTCGATCACATTTCATTGCTATTCTTTTTAATGATTTCTCCTTTTACTTGAAGAATCAAGTGACTTCTGTTTTAAACGATGCTCAGCATACCAATGGTGGATTCCAAACATTAAAGAATACATGTAAAAAATAGTACCATTCTTTTGTGTGTGTTGCTACGTAAGAATCAGTAAGGCTGAATGAAGAGTAAAGCAGTCCCCTTGATAAGCAGCTTAATAACAATAAGACGCTAAGTCGCTTTGGATGTCAACTTGGGCAGCATAGAAGTTTTACCAAGTTAAAATATAAGTAAAAACGACAGTTTTGAAGTATCACTATTTGACTGAAACCACTGTCCATAGTTCCGGTGTAGAAGGGTGAGCGAGTCGTTAAATCAAGCTTTTCTTTTTAAAAAATGAATTTCAAATTGTACAAGAACGGGGGGGAAAAAAAGATCTGCTATATGATACACAATTAAACACCTTATTGCCATACCTGTTTGCTGACAAGCATCCACCAACAGGACAATTTTGGGTTTGTTCTCTGGGCCCGAAGAGTTCGTTTCCTTCTGGATAGCAACATTTTTCACCGGAGGCCTTTTGCTCTTTATGTGGGGTTGCGACGGCTGCTGCTGATTGAAAGATGAAACAAACAGATGAAGCTAATTGACATGACTTAGGATGTGTGTGCGTATGCGGTCATTTACCTTGTTGCTTCTGAACTAGTTTATGGAATGTTAGTCTATCTGCTCCCGTTCTTTAGGTCTTCCGAAAGGACTTGAAGACCAGGCTGTGTCAACTCGCCTGGGGTCCCAATGGAAATGTAGCACTTTGCAGGTGGCTAATAGAGTAGATAACCCCCACCCAACTGCCTTTGGCTCCCTACCTCTCCATCCTGCTTAGTTTTCATTGAATTTTAAATTTAAGGTCCTTACTTATTGTTTTAATGTTTTATGGCACATTCCACTCAAGTCTGTAATCCACCTAGATCGCTTTTGGCAAGATGGAGGGTAGACAAATTTGGCAAACAAACAAACAAGAACTCTTTCAAGTTTTAGACTCCCACGAGCATTGGTAACTTAATATGTAGCCGATTTCTGCATTGAGACACAATGGCACTTCTCGTGTTTAGCCACAACAGCACGTGAGCTCACCGCTGAAATCCAAGGGCAGACTGTTTAGCAAAACGACACCTGGTGACAGGGCTTTACTAAGTGACCTGTAAATCACGTTAATCCCTTGTGATCTCTGACCTGAGAGATGGAGATTAACAAGTAGAAAACAATTTGGAATGGCTGAGAAAAATATGAGGGCGGCAGAAAACACTTAAACTGACTTTAATACATTCTGGATATACGTTAGGTATCATTGAGAGCTTATGGCCGTTGTAAGCTCCATATTCAGGTCCTTGTGGAATAAGCGTGCAAATTTTGTGACTGAAAAAGTATATGTCTAAGCTGTCAGCTCTCCCAGGTAAACCAGACAGGAAGTAGAAGTCGATGAATTCTACTTTACTGTAAGGCTACATGAATAAAAACTTGCAAATCTGAAGACACAAACTTCCTGCTGCCACAGGAAATGCACAAAACGAGCTTACTTTTTGCACCATCGATCCTCTGCTGGTACTTCTGCTCCTGGGGCTACATAATGGAAAGGCCTGGCTTGGTTGGGCCGGACGATCTGTGCATTGTGCTGTAACTGTGTTTATGGCACTTGCAGGCTGAAACGGGGCAGGGTAAGCTGTCGGGAAGGGATGATAGAATCCCATGACTTGCGTACAAGGCGCTGGCATCAGTTGATAGTAGGTATACTCGGTGGAAACTGGTGGCTGAGTAGATATAATGGGATAAGCCAGATACGGCCCGGGAGGGTTTGCGTTAGGCTGCTGCCACCTGATGTCATTATTGTACAGTGGAAGTTGTCTGAAATAAATGGGGAGGGGGGGAGGGAAATCCAGTTAGGTCTACAGTTATTTCTTCAAAATCAATTTAAAGAAAGGGTGTCCAATCAAAGCAACTTTAAGACTTACAGATTTCTCGATTTTCCTATATCTTCTCATTTTCTCTATAAGTAAAGATAAAGGTTCCCCTCGCACATATGTGCTAGTCGTTCCCGACTCTAGGGGGGAGTGCTCATCTCCATTTCAAAGCCAAAGAGCCAGCGCTGTCCGAAGACATCTCCGTGGTCATGTGGTTGGCATGACTAAACGCCAAAGACGCACAGAACGCTGTTACCTTCCCACCAAAGGTGGTCCCTCTTTTTCTACTTGCATTTTTTTTTATGTGCTTTTGAACTGCTAGGTTGGCAGAAGCTGGGACAAGTAACAGGAGCTTGCCTCATTACGCGGCACTAGGAATTCAAACCGCTGAACTGCTGACCTTTCGGTCGACAAGCTCAGAGTCTTAGCCATTGAGCCACTGCGTCCCTTCCATTTTCTCTATATATTTTTTCTAAATTTTTTAATTTTGTCTACTTTCAATGTACTAAAAATTCTAATAAAATCCAAAAATGCCAATATTATAACCTTGATTGTTAAGAGTACAACCTCAGTATCATGAAAGCTTTCCAGGGTTCCCCCTCTGCTCTCTTTTATGCTATTTATGATCAAAACAAAAGGGTTTTAAGACTCTCTCAAAATAATTTGTTCCCTAACTTCATGGTTTAACAGTCATGCCACTCAATGCTCTACAAAAGGGGTCTTCAAAACTTGGCAGCTTTAAGACTTGTGGATTTCAGCTCTCAGAATTCTCCAGCCTGGCTGTCCACACAAGAAAAACACATCCTTCATTTTTAGATTTTTCCCAACATTTCAGAAAGCAAAGCAAATTAGATTATCCTAGTCTGAACAGAGATATACTATAAAGCAGCAGAGTAAAACAAAACCAAAAGAAAGGCTCATACTGGTTTTCTGACATATAGATTTAATTACCTGTTGGATTGGTTTTCTTGAACAAACGGGTAGCACGTAATCAGGTAGCTGGGAATCGGAGTTGCCTCAACCCCATTGATGTTTCCACCTTCATTTGGCAGGGCCATGGGCATCACCAGCGAATCGGGGGCCTTCTTCTGAGGAATGAACGGTTCCACTTCAGCAGACAATTTCACATTCTTAAAAGGGAAAAACAAAATGAAAAGGATTCTTGGTACATAAACGGGTCGTAATGATACATCGGCAATTTAAGTTTTTAACTTCGCCGTGTGTTAAATCTAAGTCAATTATTTAAGCAAAATTGAGCCCAATCTGAATGGAACGTTTGAGATCTCTTATCACAGTGATGGCAAACCTTTTAGAAACCGAGTGCCCAAAATGCGCGTGCATGCCCAAACTGAAGGATGCGAACACACGCATGCACTCATGCATGCGTGTGCAGACATGTGCGCATGTGCAGCAGAGACCTGAAGACCAGCTGGCCGGTGGGAGGCGTGAGCTTCTGTTTTGTCGTTTGCAGGGACGCCACGGAGATCTGACCTGGGACGACGGCGCGCGTGCCAGCAGAGAGGGTTCTGTGGGCCACCTCTGGCACGGGTGCCATAGGTTCGCCATCATGATCTTATCATCACAGGACATTGATTTTGCGAAATAGCAAAATCTGGCTTTGGTTTTGACAGAGGATTTAATACTTCACTCTTAATATTTATACATAGGTGTATATTATCATGTTTATATACCATCCAAATTATAAGATTGGGTTTCACCATGGCAGAAAGCAAAAACTCTTGGCTAACGAAGCAAACACTTCAAAAGCATGTTTGTTACACAAGTAAGTTTCCAGCGATACACAGGTAGTCTTCAACTTACCACAATTGAGCCCAACATTTTTGTTGTTAAGTGAGACATTTGTTAAGTGAATGTTGCGACCTTTCTTGCCCCATTTGTTAAGTGAATCACTTAAGTTGTCGATTTAATAACGGGGTTGTTAAGTGAATCTGGCTTTCCCATTGACTCTACTTGTCAGGAGGTCGCAAAAGGACACTGCAACTGTCATAAATATGAGTCAGTTACTAAGTGCCTGAGTTTTGATCATGTGACCATGGGAATGCTGCAACCGTGTGAAAGACGGTCCTAAGTCACTTCCAGAGGATGGAATTCAGAGCAGCATTTTATGGGTCCTAAAAATCTCTGTAATAAATGGACCTGTAATTTGTCAGAAGTGAATTTTGTACATTGTAAATAAGTATTGTTTGGTTTACTGAGACACTCAGCAAATCAGATTGCCCGGCAAAAATTGCTCCTTTCTCATCAAAAGAATAGCAAGTTACATGCCAGCAGCCTCTACCAAAGTTTAAGACCAAAGATTTTTAGCTAGAAAACCATTCAAATTACATTTCCTTCTGTTCACTTGTACGTTTGCCCATGGTTAACAGATTGCATCATCAACTAACCGCACAGAGTGAGTTCACACAGCACTCTTAAGATTAATATTTGGTCAGCTAGATTCCATTTCAGGGTATTCTGAAAACCTAATCATTATCTTCATTAAGCCAACCAGGGACAATTTATTTTCATATTACAGAAAAAAATAATTATTAAAGTTGGAGATTTTCATTAACTATAATCATTTATAATTAATTAAACATTATCCACGGAAGCATAATTGTCTTTAAACTACCACAGTATTATAATCTTACAATAATAGTAATTATTAATGTAAAAATACTGGCTTTTCTTCCCATCAAGCCTTATACCACAATAATACCATTTGTGAAGAGCTTAAACATTTTATTCCAGTTGCTGCCTCTAATTATGGTTGTTCCCAAACTAAATCTGGATAACATAAATCCATTTGGTTAGCATTTAGGAGCCATGGTGGTGCAGTGATTAGAAGGTAGTATTACAGGCTAACTCTGCCCACAGCCCAAGTTCGATTCTGACCGGCTCAAGGTTGACTCAGCCTTCCATCCTTCCGAGGTCAGTAAAATGAGGACCCCAGATTGTTGGGGACAATATGCCGACTCTGTAAACTGCTTAGAGAGGGCTGTAAAGCACTGTGAAGCGGTATATATATCTTTGTGCGATTGCTATTACTATTTCATTTCAGGATATGTCTAATACTGAAAAATATTGTTACTGAACTACTAACTTGATATATAATTTTAGAATCTACTTCAGCAGAAAACATACACATTTTAAAGTACTTGGAATAGTAGCCAGGAAGATAACTATGTTGCTTTAGGATGATATGCCCAGCACACCTAAATTAGTTTCATTGAAAATATAAAAACACTGATGAGATTTAAACATTTATTTACATGATGAACCCAAATACATTCAATGCAGAATGGATAACTATTTCCTGCATGAAACACACATTCTAGCCGATTCTCTGTCTTATTCCTAAACTATATAAAATAATTGCTATACAAATCTGTTAAACGCATCTATGAAAACCAAAAATAATGGAGTTTCAGTTTTGCTTCTGAGCTTTTAGAATTAATTAATGACAGTGGAAGATAAATTTCTATAATAATGTTTTGAAATTTAATTGCCAATTCAAATTTAAAAAAGGCTTGAATTAATAAGTAGAACTAAAGCAATTGTTAACATTTGTTACCTGTAGAGCATAATTACTGGGATTAGGAAACAAAAAGAAGGGAAGGTAACACTGTAGCCAAAATTAAAACAATCAAGTATAACTATTGTGTACATGTTACCAAACAATACTCTGCACCATCCTGTACATGTTACCAAACAATATCAGTATTTGTAAACTGTAGCTTATCTAAAACTGAAAACAATCAGATAAGAGGGGAGGATTCAACTAACACCCATAAATCTAAACTTTATCCTAACATGTGACTACAAGCCTGAAACGTTTTTATTTGGGTTACCTTTTGTTTTCATTTCAACATCTGCATACTAAGCGGCTTACAACGCAATAGTAATTTCTCTGCCTTTGATGTTTCTTCAGAGAGATTTTTCTATACATACAAGTTCCCTCTTTTTGAGGGAGATGGGCAGCAGAGAAATGGGAAAAATAAAATATACAGGTAGTCCTCAATTTACAACCACAATTGGGACTTCGGAATTCCCGCAACGTCGTTGTTAAGCAAGTCACACTCGGCTGTATGACTTTTTTTGGGCATGATGCAGCCAATTGCTGCTGTTGTTAAATGAATCACACGGTTGTTAAGAGAACCTGGCTTCCTTCGCTGACTCTGCCAGTTAGAAGGTGGCCAGGAAAGTCAAAAAAACAATGATCACATGACCCCAGGATTCTGCAACCTTCTTAAATACATGCTGGCTGTCAAAACACCCAGGTTTTGATCACGTGACTGTGGGGATGGCTGTGACAATTGTTAAGTGTGAGTCTCGGTTTCAAGTACTGTTGTAGTTTCAAACAGCCGCTAAGTGAATGGATGTTAAGTCAAGGACTACCTGTACGCTGCTGGACCCCATTAAAATAAAGGAAATAAAATATTATCCACTCTATTGTTTGTGCGGAATACTTCCTCTCCAATCGCAGGGTTTCCAAGACTGGCCTGGCCTTCATTTTACTTCAATAAATGTAAAACTGTTTATATCGGCAACATATTGTGCATAAAGGCCTCTTTGTTTTCTGTGTAAAAGGCACTGTAGTCTTTAGCAGCTGCAGGGACAGAAGATGACACTAGCAGGAACAGACTGGTAAAGTTAGTACACTACAAAGCACAAAAAAACCAGTAATGGATATTTATCCTTACCCAATAAAACAGAAGCCATGCTGTGCCTCGGCCAAAACCGCAAGAGCTGAAGGGGCCCAGTGTTCAAAAACATAAGGCAGATGCACACAAGTTATGTTTTGAACCGAAAATGAAGCTGCAGTTGCCCTGCTGGAAAGGAAAGGATCTGTGCGACGTTTGATCTTCCTTGACAATTTGTAAAATATCAGGGGTTTTTTTTCAAAACAGGGAACCTTCTAGGAACAGCTCCACAAGATGTCACACTCTCTAGTTATTTTCAGAGGAGCTTCGAAAACACAAAAGCAGCTGTGGCTATAGTTAGAAAACTCTAACGCAATGTAATATTAAGATACGGCAAATATGCAAGCTAATTTGAAGTTAGCAAAGGCAGCGTCGTCATCTTGTATGAGATTCTGCCTTAACAAATGGCAGGTTGAGAAAGAATGTTTTTAAGCAAAGTTTGACGGGTACATTTCCTGGAGTTGCCTACATTCAAGAGAGATGTTGCTAATAAAATGATAAAATATAAACTTTTTTGACAAATGGGTAATCAAGAGGGATGATGGAATAAATAAAACTAATGTCATAGATGTTAAGAGGTTTCTAGAGCAGTGTTTCCCAACCCTGACTCTTTGAAGATGGATGGACTTCAACTCCCAGAATTCCCAAGCCAGCTGGCTGGGAAATTCTGGGAGTTGAAGTCCACCCATCTTCAAGGGGTCAAGGTTGAGAAACACTGTTCTAGAGTATATGATAATGATGTGAGCGAAAAAGGTGTTTACAGGTAACTCAAATGGTGTCCTCATGAGTTAAACTAGGACGCAACCGAAACAATTAACTGGTAATTTATTCCTCACTTAGCAACTGTTTGAAGTCACAACAGACCTTTCCCAGAACTACTTGCAACCCAGTTCCAGAGTTCCAATGGATGCACACACACACAGTCACATAATCGCATTTTAGACATTTAGTAACCAGCTCTCACATTCATGGCCATTTGAAGTATCCTATGGTCAGAGAACTGCAATTTTCAGCTTTTTTTTTTTGCACTTATGTCCACAAAAAAATGCCTATTGAAGAAAACAGATTCATTTAACAGCTACTGTGTTCACTTAATCACCACAAAGATGACAGTAAAGTCAGGCGTGTCACATGATGACCCACTTAACAACTGCCATGACTTACCACCGTAATTCTGAGCTCAATTATGGTCATAAGTAGAGAACTACATGTACAAGAAGCAATTTTAAGGATGCAATCCTATCCTGGGGATCTGGCACTACAAAACATTCGGGGTCAAGGATCGAATTTCAGCCCTGTGTTATGCAGTACTGAAAATTCGGTATTTGTGCAAAGTTATAGTCTATATAAACGCTTGGTCTCCTTTACAACCCTTGGCACTATAGCTTATTTTCAAGAAAGCGTTAGAAATCAGATTGCAGCTGCAC